GTGTGTGTGTGTGTGCGCGCGCGTGCGTGCGTGTGTGCGCGCGAGCCCGCGTCTGTATTTGTGTATGTGTAGAGAGAAAGAGAGAAAGGGAGATAAAAACATAGGCGACAGAATGTAACAGTGCATTCGTACTGCAACTTGGCCCTTACCTTGGGGATGTCTGAGTGCGCATCCTCCGCGTCCTGGGGCCGCCACCTCGAAAGGGCTGCTTCAAGGGAGCCGGGTATCATGCCCTCACTGTCTGTTTTCACAGGTAAGTAACGAGGCGAGTAGGGCGCTAGCTGCGAATATGATATATAAATAAGAGACGATTTTTTTTTATGTAGTTCTTTCATGAGAGCAGGTCACAGTATGCCATATAGCATTTATTGTTTATCATATATTTACATTTACACAGACGCATATGTATCACTCACAATAGAAATAGCTCCAGTGTAGCAAGGTTCCTCAATGATTACATAATCGTTTGGGCTCATCATCATCTCCATGGCCATGAGGAGGCCACTTTGGCTTCCGGTTGTTACTACCACTTCGCTGTCCTGCCATGTGGGAGGCCCATGAAGCCGCTTTGTCAAGTCCTTCAGTTGTTTCAGCAAAGGGGGGTACCTGGGGATTATAAGGTGTTATCCAATATCTGCTGGCCTAAATATGTTTCTGCGTATGTCTGCACAAGTATTGTGGTAGGCTTGTTGGCTATAATAATAAGAGTACAATAAGCCTATCCATGGGGAGAACTCGTTACCCTATAAAAAGGCTTGTAGGATTGACATTATAGACATGCATTATATGTTTAGGAAAGTGACATACCCTGGTGTGGGGCCGTACTGAAGGCAGTCCACCATCTTTTTGGGACTAAGGGTGAGAGTGCGTCCGTCTCGTAGGGTGAGGGAACCTTCCACAAGCGGAAATGTATCTGGACTCGGCATTCCTGCCATGAGGAACACTGCGTCGTCTGGGGCTTCAACCTGCATGCTGACTAAGAAACAGGATCTGGCTTTCAAGTGCACTGCCCACATTCGCTCCACAAGACTGATTTAAAATATCATGAATATATATATATATATATATATA